AAAGCGAGTCCCAGGGCTCCAACCTTTCCCAAAGCCGAGACAGACCAGGGAAACGGGGTTTAATTTAGCATTTTGCCCTCTTTGGATAGCTAAGTACTCTTTCATTTTTGTAATTTAAAGTGCATTTATATCTATGCATTCACATTGATAAGTATACACAAATAGTTACGTATTTATATATATGGATATATCTATATTTATGTAAGCGACGGCATGTATATTAATTTAGAGCTAGTATATGTTCTCCTAGAAGATACTTTCCACTCCTCTCCTTTTAATTCTCTCTTTCCAGGTACCCATTCAGAGAGGCAGAATAAACCCCCACGTTTTCGAGGCTGATTTATTGTTAGAAGCTGTAGCTGGCTCTTGGTTCAGCTCCCTCTCACCGCAGAGAAATAAAGAGGAGCGCCTTGGCTCATTTGGGAAGGGGAAGCTTTGCCATAGAGCTGAGCACTCATGCAGTGCTCCTCGCACAATAAACAAAGTACCACTAAAGCATCATAAATAAAATGGCAGCACGATCGCGCAGTCATCGATTTACGGAGCGGCAGCGGCCGAACAAACACCCATAAAACAACAACCGCCGCCGCACTCGAGCACGACCCCGACAGAGGAGCATCACACACCCCCCACATAGTTTTCTCCGACTTGCCCAAATACATAAATAAATAAACACATAAACACACAAATAAAATAATAGAATAAAATTAAGGAGGGAAGTACTCAAACACGACAATAAAAGAGGCTTCCTATCTCCAGCCGGTCATAAATAATGGTAAAATGGCAATCGAGGGGCTGTAGTAGAGGCAGCTGGCCATCAACAGCAGTGTGGGATCTCTATGGAGAAAAATAAATAAAGAAGCAAACTCTGCCTGCTCTGCTCACTGCAAGGGTAGAGTTGAATATTTACCACAGCAAATTGAAACAAAGGGGGAAGCAGCCTGGCTCCGGGTGCACACACACCCGCACGCACACACACGCACTCACTCCAGCCTCTGCTACTGACCTTTGCCTCGAACAGCAATAACTCACCACATAAATGAACAATCAACGGAAATACCTTAAAATAAAATCCATCCTTTCTAACGAAGCATTTCGTCCTCTCGGCTCGACAATAACCTTTCCATAAGGAACGAAAGCTGTCAGCGAAATGGCCAGCTCTTGTGGGGACGGTGATGGGGGCAGGAGAAAAAAAAAAAAATAATAGAAAGCAGTTCTTGCTCTGAACAGAAACTGGAAAAGCGTAATCGCAGACGGAGCCAGACCGGGTCTCCACTCCAAATGCCACAATAATGCGCTGTATTATGTGCTCACGTGGTCATACGTCAACTTAAATCCTTTTATTTGAAATAGGGAATCATTGAAGGAACAGGGTTTCTTAACGCGAGCCTTCGCTTTTTAAAGCCTTAACCCAATATGTTAAAGAAGAGTTTTAAGGGAGGGGAAAAAAAATCTAAGAGATGCAGATGACTACGATGGGAGATTGGTCTGATTCTCTTTCCTCCCACACCAATATTTCTTTACACAAAACCCATTGGAAAGTAAGAGGAATTCTTATAACGCCGCACTTTGATACTTAGCCTAATTAACCGGCATTTGCTCCCGAGGCCCGCCACTCTGCTCTACAGTCGCATGTCCTCTACAAGCCCCGAAGAAAGCCCAAATCTTAATGCTATTATTTCCAGCCCCCTTCTAAACGGGACGATTACCAGCCTTCCCCCCACCCCCAGCTCCCTCTACCCTGCCATTGTACAAGGCTTGCTCAACTCCCACACGCTACATCAGGGCTCCTGTAGAAACTAAAAAGACCTATAATTACCTGACAAAGGCAAAAAAGACTCTCTTCTAAGAGGCTAGTTGATTTTTGTCCCCGCAACACACTATGAAGAATACACCAACCTTCATTGGCGTGCCTCTGAATTTTGCAAAATCTTTTGGGACCTTGCTGTTAAACCTGTGCTTACGCATTTCCTATACAGCTAGGTTGAGTGATGCGCAAAATTATAGGTTTCTAGGGTTGGAAAAGGAAAAAAAAATTGGGGAGGGGGAGTTCTTTGCCTAAGGGGAGAAAATTAACAAAAAAATAAAAAAGCAAAGTTGTATGTGGCCCCTGAGCCAGGCAGCTTTGCCTGTGTGTGAACCCATCACATCTTCCCTGTAAGATTGTTTAACTTGTGCTATTGACACAATAAGCTAAACAAACAAAAGAAACCCTCCACTCACACAACTTTTCTGGAAGGAGTCAAAGTAAATCAGATAGTTCACACTTTTATCGCACTCCTGGTTCAGCTCTGTGGCTCCAGCATTGTACATCATCATGTATACACCCTTGCCCAAATCTTTCCACCATCTCCCATGAGCTCAAAGAAGCCTACTACATATCCCCTCTTACTGTATCACCTACATTTCATTGAACAGAATGGAAGGAGATTTCTTCTTAGAGATGTCTTTTAGTGTTATGGACAAGTCTTATTATATTCTCACCTGAATTGTAAAAGTGGGCCACTGGAATGTAAACCCATTCATAACAGTGTACAGTAGTGGCATTGCAGCAAAGTCAGCAGGACGCTACAACAGGAGAAAACTTTGCAATTTTTCATATGGAAGTGACTAAGCTAGTACCAGGGTATACATATATTATCCCTCACTAGGAGCTGGAATAAAAACTACAGACTTTTAAAAGAAAGAGAGGGCATTAGGCACACTCGACATGCCCGAGTCTGTAACTATCAGCTTGTCTGGTAACTCCACAGCTCTCACACTTATTGTAAACCAAGGCCGATATTTGCTTGAGATGGATGCACGGCTCTTTTAAATTTGGTGCGTTTGCATCCCATAGAGGAAGCACACAGAGAAGTTCTTCTGCAACAATGAAATTAATGGGGAATGGAGCAGATGTTGAAAAAAGCGAAGCAAGTCTTTCTTGGGGCTGTTGTAAAAAGTTATCGACTGCTTTGCGTCAAAAGTAGAAAGATGGCTTTAGAAGTTACACTCTTGAGCAAATAGAAACTACAAAAGCAATAAATCACAATCATAAGTCATCTGAAATGCCTTAACGCTAGCTGTGGCTATTGGCTTCAAAACCTTGTTTCTGTGAACATCTTTATTGGTATTAATGGTCAAGTTAATCCTAAAACTACTGTTTAACAATTAACTTGGTGTATTTAGTGGGAAAACTAATTAATTCTTAAGAAAAGTAACTTCTTGACGTGCGAATACCTCTCCCAGAGTGTGTTTTAGGAAGGCAGAAGGGGGAGTCTGCCTAACTTTGTGCTGTCCTGAATTGCATCTGAAAATTACTCTCTTCCGCCGAATTTGGAGAAAGTTTTGTTTGCTCTAGCAGCGTGATTACGAGGTTTCAAATGCAAATCCAAATGATGCTGAGAGTCGCAGGCGCTAGACTTCCCTCGTCACCCCATTTCTTGCTTTGTTCCTGTTCCTGGACACTCAACGTTGTTCACCTTGATGATTTGGAGACCCGAAAGACTGTTTCTAGTAGAAGAAATGTGGAGTTTATCAGTAGGTGTACTACTGATTTTTCTGGGCTTTATACACATGCCTTGGAGCTGAGTTTAAATTCCAGCCTCAGTAACAACAAACAGATCTGAGTTCATAACGTGCCTTCATTAAGGGAGACCCTTTGTGCCCGTCCTGGCATTAAGAGGCAATTTTAGCATTAATGCTATTTGAAGTTACCTTCAATATAATTAGAGTTAGAAATTTTACTGTGCTTCAAGTTTACTTTTATGCCAGTCGGTAAGAGGTGTTCCTGTCACTCCCATGTGGAGACGAAATGGGAATCACCCGTACGATATAAGTACTTATTTCCTCGCTACCTCGAAAGATTTGCAATCTGCTGGGGTGCAGAGCTGTTTACCTACATCCGTGCGCCTGATAAAGTTGGTCTTTGATCATTCCCAAGCAGATAAAAAGAGCAGCGTTATCGACTGTGCCCTTGTGAGAGAAGTTCTGCTCAGAGTCAGCTGAATCTGCTGGTGTTGGGTCCGTTAAGGAATCCCAAATATCTCTGCCCGCAATGCTGTGGGTACATGCCACCAGAGGAAGATTCCTTCGTACCGTGTTTTAGCTTTCAATTTCCGAACGCAAGCGTGAATGGACATTTGCAGCGCCTTTTTGTAGTTAAGATTTAAGCAGCTCATTAAGCCAACACAAAGAGCCCTTGTAGTCCTGTAATTTATGGCCACTTTTAATAGGTAGTAAAATACACTAATTGTACATCAACATCCAAAAAGGAGAAGGTAAATTCAGCAGGAATTTGAGCTAATTCTATGTAATCGTCCCCTCTCGACGGCCGTCATTAAAAAAAAAAAAAAAAAAAAAAAAAAAAATTGTCACTATGGAAAGCATTTCTTTTCTCCTGCCAGAGCACCAAGCACATCAAGGACTTCAGCAACTCCGAACCACCAGCCACCAACCTCCACTCAGTGCAAAGCAGGCCAGGACGGACAAATAACAGAAATTTATTCGCTAACCATTCTGTTGTATGCTCGCAGGCAAAAAGCAGGTTTTCTAACATCCCCACATGCACTTCTCGTTTGCAGGACTGGCTGCGGAACTCCTCGAGGAGGAGGCGAACAGACAAGCCGCGATAAGAAGCCATTAAATACCGAATTGGCTCCAACCCTCTCTCCCTCGCCTGGTGCCTTTGATTTCGGAAGGAACTAAGAACGGACAAAGAAATTCTCTAACTCTTTCGCTCTTCAGATGACTTTGCATCCTTCCTGTCCCCAATGCCTTTATAAGGATGGCGATCACTCAGGTCCCGTACACTTCTTTGTCTGCCCAGACACGCGCATTCACCACCCACGGAAGATGAATAGGGCCAATCCAGAAAAAAAAAATTCCAGCTAGGTTAAATATTTATCGCAACAACAACAAAATTTCATTCCAGCAGTCTTGTTCTTCATGCAGGTACCAGGCAAATCGCATTCTTACAGCTGCCACCGGCGCAAAAGCAGCGACCGCTGCCCGGCTCTTACCTCGTCCAGCTGCGCAGGGTTGGGCTGAGGCGCTCCCAGCTTCTTCCACCGCCCCGGCCGAGCGGCTTCGTTTCGGGGCTCCCTGTAAACAAGCAACAAACAGTGCCTTACCGGGGAGTGCAGGGGGAGGTATTTTGCTCCTTCATTGGCAATACATGGTTTGCCGGGTGCGCTGGGAGAGCCCGGAGAGGGGCGGGCGGGGATGGAGCGGGCTCGGGCTCCCGCGAGGAGCGTGGATTCCCACCCGGGTGAAGAGCACGGGGAGCTGAGAAATAAAAGCGTGCGGTTGTTTTGGTTGGGTTTTTTTCCTTATTTTTTTTCCCTGTAGACAGCTATGCCTTCTGTCTCCAAGTGTTTGGAAATATTGTCATTCCTAACTCTTGTTACATGAATGTCTGCTTTATTTTCCTCTGGGAAACCTTTGTTTAGGATCATTTAATCAAGAACAGACATTAAACACAAGTCGTGGTGTTCATCTCTGCTGAATAAAACTCGGAAAGGATTCCAGTTTAAATGCGGGGCGTATTGTGGTTGGGCTTTTATTCAAACGGTTAGCCGGGGCCCAATCCTGCCACCACAAGCTCACTAAGAGACTAACAATTGACCTCAGCGAAGCGGGATCGGGCCCAAATGCGTAATTTTTTTTTTTTTTAATCTAC